TGAATTCCTGGGGTATTTATAGGATTCCTTGCCAGTGCGGTTTTAATTTACATTGGCCAAACTAAGAGAGCCTTAAAATTTCGCGTCAAAGAACATGAGGCATATGTTAGAAAAAAGGAAACACAGAAGTCTTCTGTTGCTCAACATTGTTGGTCCGAAAATCACACTTTCAATTTTTCTGCTGCCAAAATTATTCAAAAAACATCTTCCATTGAAGAACTGGATTTTCTAGAGGCATTTCACATTCATAAAAATCTTTCTGTTCTAGTTAACGATCCTAATTCCAATCCAAATTTGCCTTCGGCTTTTAGAGAAATTATGTTTTAGTTCTGGTTTCGCCAACAGATGGCGCCACTTGCTTATTCTTGTCCAGGCTTTCTTATCATCTAACATTATTTCCTATTGTTCATTTGCGGTTTTGCGCTGAAGATATGGTTCGGTAAACCATCCTATCGAAAATGTGACCGTTCCGTTTGAATTTTGTGATATTGTTAGAATATTTTTGAAGAAATATTTCAGCATTTTGATTTATCTCTTGTGGAAAGAATAAATTTTTGTTAACTTTTTAACGTTAACTGTGTTTATTCCAGCCCTTTGTATTCAGTATGTCTATATCAAAACCAAGTGGTAGTACAATTAAACGAAACATCGCTGACGAACATAGAATATTCCAAGTAAAATGGGAATTAGAATATTTTTGCTGTGAAATAAAAGATAAAATAATACTATTAATGCACCAAAGTTATATAATATTAAACGTCATTACGAACAACACAAATCGAAATATAACAATTACGAAGGATTAATGAGAGAAGAAAAGTTGAAAGAGCTCAAGTTAGGAGTGAAAAAGCAATAGTCCATGTTTAGTAAAGTATTGCAAGAAAGTGAAGTGGCGGTACATGCAAGCTACGTCTTGTCCGAGTTGATAGCTAAACATTCGAAGCCTTTTACTGACGGTGATTTCATCAAGGAATGCCTAATGAAAGCTGGAGAAATTGTTTGTCCTGGAAATGTGAAGGCTTTTCAATCAATTTCATTGTCTCGAAATACAGTTGCGGAAAGAGTTACTGATTTAGCCGCGAATTTAAGTGATCAGATCAAAGCAAAATCATCTAGTTTCGAAAGTTTCTCCATTGCCTGTGACGAGAGCACGGACATTAGTGGCAAAGCTCAATTAGCAGTGTGTTTCTTCGTTCTTGTGACAAGAATTTTAACATTTTTGAGGAATTACTGGAACTAATACCGATGCCTGGTACTACCACAGGAGAAAATATATTTACTTGTGTTTTTGGACTTCTGCAGAAATACAATCTACCTTTGGCAAAATTAAATTCTGTAGCTACAGATGGCGCTCCATCAATGACCGGGAAAAACAAGGGCTTCGTAGCATTACTAAGAAAAAAACTTAGTGAAATTCACGGTTCAAACATTCATCATATGCATTGTATTATACATCAAGAAGTTCTATGCACGAAAGTAATAAATATGGAGAATGTTTTGTCATATATAAAAAAAGTTATAAATTTTATAAGATCTCGAGGTTTAAATCAGCGTCAATTCACTGCTTTCTTAAGTGAGTTAGATAGTGAATATTCGGGTTTGTCCTACTATACCGAGGTACGTTGGTTATCTTGCTCCAAGATTCTCAAACAATTCTGGGATTTGAAAGAAGAAATATGTCAGTTTTTAAAAACGAAAAATCAAGACGTAAGTTTGTTTTACGATCCAATATGGATACAAGATTTATCTTTCTTGGTTGATATAACCAAACACTTAACCGATTTAAATTTATCGTTACAAGGAAAAGATCATATCATTACGAACATGTTTGACATAATTAAAGCATTCAAATGTCAACTAGTTCTTTGGGAAAAACAACTTAAAAATGAAGATTTGACGCACTTCCCGACGTGCAGCATGAACAAATCAAGTTTAGATGATACTTGTTCGTATCAAAAATACGCAGAAAAAATTGCAAATTTAACAACTGAATTTGAAACGAGGTTTAATGATTTTAGTTCCCTCGAAGACAATTTTTTTTTTTTTTTCCCCTTCGATTTTCTCAATAAGTATTGACTCAGTACCCAGCCATATGCAAATGGAGGTGATCGAGATTCAATGCAACTCAAATTTGAAAGCAAAATTCATTGAAGTGGGCGTGCCTGAATTTTACAAATATTTACCAGCCAGGTTTGAAAATACTCGAAAATTCGCATATGAAATTATTTCCATGTTTGGTAGCACTTATCGGTGCGAGCAGTTATTTTCAGTCATGAAAGGTAATAAGTCTCCTATTAGAAACCGTATTAATGATGCTCACCTTGGGTCAGCGTTGAAAGTTATCACTGCAAACAAAATTTCTCCCGAAATAGGAAAGATAATAGCAGAGAAGAGATGTCAAGTATCAGGACGTAAACATTAAATTTTCTTGTTCTTCTTTTCTATATAAATATATATATATGTTTATTATTGTATTATTCGAAATAAATCTACGTTTCTATGAATATTGATTTTTTTTTTTTTTTTTTTTTCCCGGCCCGCCTAAAGTTAAACCTTGTTTGTTTGGCCCAAGTGTACCTATGAGTTTGACATCCCTGATGTACACAGTGATAAGTTTTTGCTAAAAAAAAATACAATTGCACAAACTTGGCATTACACATAAACTGGAACCTGCACACTTACTTTTTCTGAGAAATCCTTCTATAATTTCTTTTTGCACCGTTGTTTTTCCTATGCATAATGATCTGTTTTCGCTAAAAATACATTAGACAGTTTCCCAAACGTAGCATCACACACTGGCCATGATAGCAAGCAATGAAAACAAAGTTACCAGAATTAAATTAATATCAATGAAATTGTGATAAGGTTTGCATAGAGGTTCTTTGTCTAGGATGAATGATTTCAGAATGTAAATGAAAGCTCTTTCAGATCAGTGGTGAAATCCTGTTGAAATGAGGTGCCTTTGTTAGCTAATCTGGTTATAGCCTTGAACATCACTCTAAGAGACCAAAGACCAAAGGGGTAAAAGAAGTCTTTATCAGGGTCAGAATATGGACACCTTTGTTATGTATGAGGAAAAGAATCCCCCCCCCGAGTAGTTCACCGCAGGTAACACAAGGAGATATACGTAGAAGGTTTTTCCTGAAGAAAATTGGAAAGAGAGAGGACTCTTTCCTGCTGGAGCGATGGGCATATTGGCTCGCTGGAACTATCACTCCTCGTGTGTAATGTTAATGGCGATAGAGCATTCTTCCTCTTAATAATTTTCTGAAATTACGGGACTGATTTCATCCCACATCATCTGAATATGTACTTGTTAATGTTTTTATTTTATTAAAATTCATGTTATTGTTAGAACTTGAGTTAGAAGTTCATTTCACCCTGTATCACAACTGGGGTTTTGTGTAGCGGTTTTGGCCATCACAGCAGTAATATTAAAAATCATGGCAGCATTTAGGGTGTGCCACGATTTTTAATAAATTTTGAAAATGGAACGAAAGGGGGAAAAGAGCATTAATTGACTGGTGTGTAAATGAAGGTTTACTTAGTAGCCATTTTACGGACAGTCCGGAACTACGGAGGATTTTTTTTTACTCTTATTTTTGTTAATTTATGTGGCAATGCCGATATACAGATTTGAAGTTCAGATAATTTTAAGAAGTTTTTGGATGCTGTTAAGGAATTTTTGTGTGCCACAGACTGAAAATGAAGAAATTTCTAAATAAGGTAAGTGGATATTTGCTTTGCGTAGTGCTTAGATGCATAAGAAGTTTTCCCTTTTTATGTTATTTTATTGTTTGGTTAAAATGTAGTTTATTGAGATTACATATTTTTTGTTTGCCTCTACTGTAGAACTGGGTGCTCCTTTGACTTTTTAAGTGTAAATATATCGATGTGCACATAGACAAAGTAAAGGGAGTGTGGAATGCCAAGTTTGTGCAATTCTCCGATGTTTTTTTAATTGAAAATAGGTCAATGTGTACATAGATACTGAGTTTGTGCAATTCTTCGACTTATTGTTTTGTCTTTGCACTGCTACACAAAAGCCAAAATAACAATTCAAAGAATTGCACAAACTCGGTATCCATGTACCGCCAAAAATTGCCAATTTTCTCCAAGGGGTACAAGTAAATATGCTTTTACCTCAAAGGCGTCGTCAAATTGGTGAATACAATTTTTGTGATTTTGGAGAAGTTATGCCAGTTATTCGAGACTAAATTGATTTTGGATATATCTCTGTTATTGGGGATTAAAAGTTTTCTTGTGGTTATTGAAAGTTATTTTTGTGGTTAAACTTCTGTTGATTGGAATTTAACTTTTGTTCTAGTACCTTTTTAAATTACTGAAGTATTGTAATGGAATGCTTTAGACAAATTTAGATTTTAAATCAGTCCAATGTTATAGGACAAAAGGGTTTAGATACTGCAGGAAAAAGTTTCATGTCAATTAAAATTAGCATTTTTGATTTATGTTTAGTATGTATTGTATATGTTAAATATTTAGAGATCATCGAGTTTTGAAGGCAATTAATGTTCAAAATTATTAGAGAATTACTCAGTTTTGGAGAAATAGACCTGTTTTTGTATTTTGGGGTAGGTTATTTTTCTTAACTTTATTTTTCCATAATGCGTGAGTTTATCAGGAAATTTACTAAAGCTCTGCTATTAGAGTTAGCAGAAGATTTTGATGCAAACGTGTCTCACGCAAATAAAATATGAGAAATTAGGCAGGCTGTTCTTAATGTCGAGGTTTATGAAGAGGAAGCAGCAACAGAATATGTGCCGAGAATTTAGGCTGCGGCTGAGCAGAAAAAAGCAGCAGAAATAGCTGAAGAGGAGAGACCAGAGCGTGAACGTAAACGCGAGAGAGCAGAGTGGGAATGTTAACAACAGAGAGCAAAACGAGAATGGGAATATGAACACGAGAGAGCAGAACAAGAACGTGAGCGAGTTTTTGAATTGGAGAAGTTAAAACTGATGAACGTAGTTGAGACTAATTACCTTAGCTTCCACACTTTTGACAGTTGAAAAACCTAGGAAAAAAAAAATGGGTTAATTTGAGAGATCTAGTACCACATTTTGAACCGAGTAATATAGATATTTCATTATTCTTTATGCTATTTGAGAAACACTCTAAAAAGAGAATGTAAATGAGATTAACTGGCTCTCGCAATTAATTCCTTTATTACTTCATGATATAGCTCAGTTAATAGTAAAAGAACCAGCGGATAAAGGGGATGATTATCAGCACTCTTGGCATAGATTCACAGATAAAGGACTTGAAGAAGCTTTTGAACAGATTGTCCATGGAAAATCGGACAAAAAACAAGTCTTATTACTACACAACTTACAAATGAACTGAAAGAATGCTACATAATGAAACTTAATCCTGAAACTTTCAGACAAGTCATCAGGCTATATGAGTATAACAACTGAATAGCAAAAGGATATTCTTGTCAAAGGATAATAGAAAACAAAGATTTATCATAGAAGGATAATAAGGACAATGTCAAAGGATAATAGAAAACAATCATAGAAAGTCGAAGATAATAGAAAACAAAGATTTATCATACTGGCAGCATGTAACATTTGCAGTTGAATTAAAACTTAATATATTTGGATCCCATTAACTAATGATATGTGCAATGGCCAATAAAGAATTGAACCTGAAAAATTTTGTTTACTGTTACAACATGTTTTGTACAAGAAATTCATTATTTAAAGAAAACATGCTACTCATCAGTTTTACAGGGCAACCAGTTTTACCAATCGCTGGTTAGAGTAGAGAGAAGTATTATCGTGAAGTTGCTACGTTTAACATAAAGTTGTTGTTTCATTTAGAGTAGTTGAATGTTCTGGAAACCCTATTATGACATAATGGGTTGCATGATAGTGGTAAATTCGTAATGTGGATGTGTATTAGTTACGAAGTATACTGCTTGTTTTGTGGTTTAGACAGTAAAATGGCTAATGTGGTAAGATTAATTTGAAGTTTCTGTACAATTTGGAAAAAAGGGGGAAAGAGCATTACTTGGCTGGTGTGTAAATGAAGGTTTACTTAGTAGACATTATTAGGTGTCCTGTTTGAAGGAAGGAAATGCGTATAGTCGAACGGCGGAAATGTGTACGGTCGAACGTCGCTACAGAGGATATTTTTTACTCTTATTTTGTAGATTTATGTGGTGAAGAAAGCATACAGATTCTAGTTCAGATAATTTTAGGAAGTTTTTAGGTGCTGTTAAGGAATTTTGTTTTGTTTGTTTTTAAATAAGGTAAGTGGATATTTCCTTTGTGTAGTGCAAAGATGAATTTCCTTTTTTGTATTATTTCACCGTTTGATTTAAAATGTAGTTTATTGAGATTATATATATATATATATATATATATATATATTTTTTTTTTTTTTTTTTTGTTGGCTGCTGCTTTGACTTTTTAAGTGAATATAGTTCTATGTGTACATGGTCAAAGTCAAGGGAGTGTGCAATGCCTAGTTTGTGCAATTCTCTGATGTTTTCTAAAGTGAAAATAGGTTGATGTGTACATGGATAAAGTCATAGGAGTGCGCAATGCCAAGTTTGTGTAATTTTCTGATTTTTTTTTAAGTGGAAATAAGTCAATGTGTACATGGATAGCGAGTTTGTGCAATTATTTGTCTTGTTATTTTGGCTTTGTGTAGCAGCGATTTTTGCAAGCCAAAATAACAAGTCCAAGAATTGCACAAACTCGGTATCCACGTACTGCCAATTTTCGCCAAGGGGTACACGTAAATATATTTTTACCCCAATCACCAAGTTTGCAACTATTTATCACAAAATGTCATAGTAAACATAAACCTATAACAAATAAAATGTTTTCATGATTGGGCCTTTAAGTCTGTATTTGAGATTTCTTCAGCTCACATGTCTAATCCTCATAAGTTAAAGTCAGAACCATATATTAAGAATAGTGAAATCAGTTTTCTTTTGCTTATACGAAAATAATTTTCTTAGAATCAAAATAATGACATTTCCAATTTACCCTCAAGTAGAAATGAAACTGTTTGATTCTTTCAAGAAAGGCATATTTTACCCTCCACAAAAATTTGGAAAAAGGGACATGAAACGAAATTACGTGCCAATGCAGAAGTCATATGGAGATGAGATGTAAAATATTGCCAAAAAACAACATAAGAAAGGTCTTAGCATTTATAACTTTGCTGATCCAGGAACCAGCACATCATGCAAAATATTGAAAGACTATAGGGTTCTGTGGGAAGCTGCTAAAATGTAAAACAAGATGTTATGGCTTGCCAGTATCTTGGGTCATACCTAGCTGACTTCATGTGGCAGCAATATAATACAGTCAAAAGTCGTTAATTCGGACACTCATAATCTGGAATGATCTGAACCTCAAAGCTACAAACTTTCTACGCATGCGTCTTTCCGCGCGCATAGGCGTTTACGCATGCGCGTAAGATCTTTACGGCTGCGCATAATACGTTTACACATGCGCGTTTAATGCATAAAGAACGGTAAAAACTAAACTAAAATTATCTAATTATCTATTTCAGTTAATGTTGCAGATTGCGTTGTTCCTTAATCTTTGAATTGGATCCGGCTTATTATTTTTTGCAGACTGTTAGAGCAATTTTATAAAAGTAAGCTTGAACTTTCGATTATGTCAAATAGAATTTCCGATGCTGGAGCTCCCAAAGGATCTACAAAGCGAAAGTATGTTTCGATGTCCATCAAACAAAAAAGTGGAATTGCTGGAAAAAATGAATAAAGGCATATCCTTTGTTCCTCTAACCATTCCAAAATCTGTTTATCAATTTCACACTGCTCTGTGGCAGGAGGGGTGGAACGCCGCGGCGCGCAATGCCTTCGAAGTTGATCTGTCAGCACTATCCTTATCTTCAGGGCAGTTTTTATTTTATTTGGCTTATAATTCCTTACTAAATGTAGTATTTCATCTCGATGTACTCCGTCTTTGATATGATTTAAATCAAATTCCTTGTCATTATAATTCGCTTCCGATAGTGACGAAAGTGACACAGAGGTTATTGAAAACGAAAAAATTTCGATTGACAAATTAGTCGGTATTCTCGACACAGCAATTATAGGACTTGAACAGCGGAACTTTGTAACTGAACAAGAAATTATGTCTGTTTATAGAATTAAAGAGAAAGTATTATCACATAAAACGAAGCAACTTAAACAACTTATATTGAAAGAAATGTTTAATAAAGTAAACAAATAAATATTAAGCTTCTTTTGTAAATTTTGATACCCTTTAGATCATAAATGTTCTTTATTTCATAAATCACAGTTTCATATTTTTAATTTTATTATTTTTGCATGCCATCTTACGAGATTTTAAACTGATGATCTATAATCTGGAATCACCGAAGTCCCGACGAGTCCAGATTAACGACTTTTGATTGTACCTTATATTATATACCAATATATTCCTCTCGTGTAGTTTGGTGGAAAGGGAGAGGGGTGGGAGACCCTCAGATCGGTCCCCCCCCCACACCATGTGCTCTCCATCAAATTTGGGGGCAGAACTAAGCAAAATTTCACTGTCATCTGTAAGGTGCCTTCTATGATGCCAACAGCATGCGTAAACTAGCAATTCTTGCCACGATCGTATTTTGTGGACCTTGGACTGATGTTATGGTCAGACAAATAAGTATAAGTAGTAACAGTACAACTCTAATATACAGCCTAATTTCACCAAATGTGGCGATATGTGTTTTGCGCTGGTTTTTGGCAAGATTGCGTGTTCTATGGCAACCCTGTCGACGTTGAAAAATCTTTCACTGGAGCTCGTTGATTCGCCTCTGTATCTGAGAAGATGGGAGGGAAAGATAAAATGGTAGTTGTTGAATTGAAATTCGGCAAAAGGAAATATCATTGTGGCTATCCTGTTGAGGGGTAGTAGATTTGGAAGTGTGGAAAGAGGGTCTGGGAGAATTATTTTTAATGGCAGTGCATGATTAGAAGTAGGGATTTGTAATATATTTATGTGTGAACCATAGTATAAAATTTTCGGCTAGTATGTCTGGCTTCGTGTAAATACGATAGTGATTACGTGGCGGCATGTTAAAGGCGGTATCAAATTGATATTTCTGCTATTCGAAAACTCATTAATTCATGATAGTGCATTTTATTTTATCCTTGTTCTTATTTGTAGAACTGTTATGTTCATTGGTTCTTTAGTATGAATTTCTGTCATTATTGCTGTTTTTTTTAATTGTTTGATTTATTTAGTTTATTTTGTTGTTTAGTGTCTAGACAGGCAATTCGTAGATTTTTTTTAAAGTTGAAACAGAACACTGTGTAATGGTATATTTGAAATTATTGTTGTTATGTTATTTTATTAAAGCGAGGAGTGTTAGATCGTATTCCTTCCTTGCCTAATTGTGCAATTGTAGATTTTTTTTTTTTTTTTTTAAAGTTTAAACAGGATGCTGTATACATGGTATTCTTGAATTATTGTGTTATGTTAATTTATTTAAAGCGAGGTGTGCTAGTGTTGTAGATTCGTTCGTTGCCTACTTGTGGCATTCGTAGATGTTTTTTCAAGTTAAAACATGTCGCTGTTGTACATGAATTCTTGTCAAATATTTTTGGTTAGAAATTTATGTTTTTGCTATCTAAATTTTTTTGTTTTGTTTCGATTTTTAGCTAATTTGAGGTTCAAAATGTAGTTTTTGCAAGTGCGAAACCGTTTTTGGAGACATTTTAGGCTAAAAGTTCGAAATGTAGACAAAAATTTAGATAGTAATATGGCAGCATGAAGTTTCTCGCCAAAAATATTTGGCGACTTGAGGGCGCATATCAGAGTAGTTCCGTAGTAACATATACCTATATATTACATACTGGGTATTACAAAATAATTCTTTTGAAAACAATATTTGGTGTTATATATTGGTATTATACATTATATATTTGGTATATATAATACAACCAAATATGATAGCATATTTGATGCCATATTAGCTGTGTATTTAGGATCTCTAAGTTATGGGCCACCTTCCTTTTAGGTGTCATTTTATATTTTTGAAAATAAAGGCAAGTTCTTCCTTCTCTTTTTAAATTTCTGTTAAAATTCCATGAATAAAAATGTCATTTATATGAGATGATATGGTTTCTAACCTTGGTATTATTTTCTTGACATTTTAATCAATGGTAAAACTAACAAATACTGAAACACTATAAATCAATATACAAATACCAATTTTCTGAATGAAAACATGACAGCATCACTGTAAAGATCTCGGAAAGCAAAAATAATTTATATTTTATTGGATAATGATCCTAAATACAGTTCTAAATTTTCCTTTACTCATGTTGTATAATTATCTTTAAATTATCAAAAATCCTTCATATTTTCAAGATTTGAACAATATTAACCCTCCGAGCATTACATACCTGGAATTTCCAAGTCCTTCAAAAGGTCACAAATATGGTATTTCCTTGATTATAGCTCCAAAATGACAGTCTCATTGGTTAATCTTTGGATTATGGTAATTTGGCGATTTTTTGGCGACCAACCTTGTTACAGCAACCTGCTAGTTTTTTTTTTTTTTTTTTTTTTTTGGAACGCCATTTTGTTTTCTCAAAGTAAAGGCATTTTTTTTTTTAACTCAAAATTTTTTTCCAACAATCTGTTAGCCGAATTACGCCTATGCTAGAACTTTTATGGAACAAAAGTGCTTAATCATGATGAAAATTAAATGTGAAATTATTGGGAGAAAGTGAAGAATCGCAAACTGCTTGCCGCATTTTTAAGAATTGCACATACACGGTATCCATGTACACGTCGACCTATTTTCACTTAAAAAAAACATCCCAGATATGCACAAAAATGGCACTGCGCACACTCTTGACTTTATCCATGTACACTGCTAAAGTCCTAGCTAGTACCCTTTATCGTCTTACCAAAATGTCGCCAAACTACCTGTTACCATATTCCAAAGATTAGCTGTCTCATTTTGTACCTAGACTCTTTTCCACTATACATCCAAACCAAAATCAGATATGCTAGAAGCTAGGAGAAATTTTCAAGTGTAATGAATAAGAAAGCTGCCCTTCTATATGGAATTTTATGTTCATAACCCTTGCTTAGAAGGTTAAATAATTATAGAATGAACTCAAAAAGAGAACAAGGAAACAAGATAATTCCTTAAACACCAAACTTAATGTAATACTGACAGAAAAATAATGCAAAGCATTCCTATCTGAAAGAATTATTTTAATGTATACCCGAGTGTTTGTTAGTCAGAGAACTTAAATACAAAATGCTTTGCTACTTGCATATTTTTCCTAAATATTAACTATTTATTCTAAGCATTCACACTGTCTCACAAATGTGTTCACACACTTTGAGAATTTGCGGAAAAAGCTCTGTAACCCTGAACTGAATTCGAATATAAAGCCCAATATTTTTTTCATATCATCTCCATGTGATTTTGAATAAAACCAAACATTTTAAATTTTTAATACTAATTTATTTTCTTTTTTAAAAATTGAAAATGTAAGAAGGCATAGATAAAACACCACCGCAAAAGTGATCGTACACCGACACATTTTCGTAAAATTTAATAAATAAAATTATTGTCTAACACTTTTTTTTTTTTTAATTTTTGCATTTTGATGATATTTAAAAAATTGTTTGGCTTTATTTTTTGCTTGCTTGCATAGTTATATTTTATTTAATGTTTAAAGATGGCTCAAAGCCGTAAGGAAACAACAAATACCATTTGAAAATTGATAATTTTTTTCATAAGCATGGAAATTTAATTGGGGATATTGTTAAATTAGTAAATTTATCCCATTCTACAGTGAAGTATGTGATAAAATAGTTTAATGAAGAAAATTGGATCAAAAATAAAGTAAGAAGAGACTGTCCGGCAAAGAGGACTTGACTCTGACCAGAGATTTATGAACAGAAAATCTGTGAAAAATCCATGTTTGAGCATTTTAAAGATTTCTACAGGATTTACTGAAATTTTTCTACTTCAATTTCCCTTAAAACTGTTCCACAAATACTCAAATCAGCTGGATTACGTGGGCGCTCTGCTCGAAGATAGTTTTATGGAAGTGAAAAGAATAGAAAGCTTAGGCTTTACTTTCATAACTCATGGTAAATAAAGCCCAAAACGTATTAGAATCCTGTCTTATTTGCAAATGAAAGCAAATTTAACATTTTTTATTCCAATGAATGTATAATTAATTGTATCGAGAAGAAAAAAAATTAGGAGCTCAATCCCAAGATCTTGATTAGTATAATAAAGCATGGTACTGGAGGTATTTTTGTGCAAGGATACATAGCTGTATCAGGATTAAATATTTAGTATTTATTGATGGCACAATGAACCATGCTCTTTAATTAAATATTTTAAAAGGTAATTTAAAATTATCCACCCAAAATTTGGATAATGAAAACAATTTTAATTTTAGTTAATTTTAGTTTTTATTAGGATAACGATTCTAAGGACATGGGCCTCAACGTTCACCTTTTGGGTGTCAATAACTGTCTACAAGTTCTGAAAACACTACTTCAGTCACGCGATTTAAACTCAACAGAAAGTTAGAGCATCTGCAGAAAATTAGAGGTTACAGTATGAAGGCACAATATTAAAACAAAAACAGAACTAAAAACAGTAGTGATTGAAGAATGGAAAAACATTGATGCAGATATTAAAAAAAACTGTTGAACTCTATGCCAAGATGCTTGAAAGCTGTCATAAATACTGCAGTATATACTATAAAATACTAACTGACAGAAATACTACAATATTTACTAATATGTGCAGATTTCTTTAAAGTGTACCAAGACTTTTGTGGGGGTAACTTTTCTGTTACTTTTTTATTACTCATTTTCCGAAAAAAGATTTTTTATACGTTCAAAAATAATTAACGTAGTTTTGCTAAGAGAAATTTACAGATATTATTAAAAAATTTTCATTCTAAAATATTAATTTTAATTAATGAATAAAGCACTATTTCACTGAAACTCATAACTGTGCGAACACTTTTGTGAGCCACTATATATATTTATGCAAGTTCATTTGCAGTACCTTTTTGAAAAACTTATTTTAAGAAAAGTTTGAAGCAGTTTTTGAAACAAACACTTTTTTCAAATAAATTTTAAAAACACAACCCTCCAAAAGCATATGAAGACAGTGTAAAAGTTTAAAATATTGTTTCACTTAAGCTACGAAAAGAAAAATAATTAAACATAGAGTTAATAAATTCAAACTGCATTATATCTAAATTACGATTTTAATTTCAAAATGACTTTGGATACATTTAAACGGAAATAATAAATTAATATGACTAAAGTAGCTTATAAAATTACAATACTTTACCTCATAAGAAATGCCAATTCTTTAATGGACAGCGCCATTACTTTAAAATTAATACTGCTTTCGCCAACTGTTTGCTAAATGCTGATCTATTCTCTTAAGTTACTGAAATTAAGCTTTATAGATGAAACACTTGTCTACAACCGCTTTTTCCCTCTCAGAAAACCGAGGAAGGGAATATGCTTGTCTTCTTCGTCCGTAGCTAGGGAGAAAAAAAAAATACACAGGGAGTTTGCTCGTTTAGATCTGTTTTTAAGGAAATTAGTATTAAAAGTGAACTAATGTGCCTTTATGACAAAATCTAAATGGGGCAATTACTTTTGGATCCGATTTCATATGTGTATTAATTAATCACCTGTATTTTCGCTCATATGATGTACATATGTATTAAATAACAGCCACAGTTGCCATTTATTCTGGACACTATTTTACTATGTTTTCTGCTTTGAAAACATTTCACATCAATCTGCATATTCAGATACGCCATAGAAAATGCAAGCAGTATTTGAGTGCAAGCTATCATTCAGCTGTGTATTCATTTTATAACATGGATTTCTGTTTCTTTCTTTATACTCCGCAAACTTTTCACCTTATTCATTATACATTATAAAATTTCTCTTTCATTCTCTCTATTTGATGGAAGTCCAAAATTATTTTTCTAATGTAATGTGGAGTTTTAAACTTTCATATCTGATCTATCTCTTCCGTAATTAAATATTTTGTCTGGAATGCTATGAAATAATTTTTACTGCTAAACGAAATTCTTCTTTATTATAATTATTATTATTTTCGCCTAGCGGGCAGGAAAAGTTCTGACCTCTCTCTCTGTTTTACCACCAAATTCTTTGCTTACCGCGAAACTTTTTCGCATCGGTTGCTTTCGGATGTAATAAATGCGGATCCGATTCAGAGGAAAAATTAACTGGATGAATTTGTTTATTGCAAGTTTTGTGGGCGTAATTGCCTCTACATATATCACGTACCCTCTAATGGTTCAGCATCGAGATGAAAAGAAGAAAAATTTGGTTACGGGCTCCTAAAAATAGATACTTTTTATATGACTTTGATCTTGGTATGATATATGTAAACACATAAACTACTGTTTTCGTTATAAAACAGTAGATTTTTATCATTTATCTGTTCTATCGATGATCTTGTTATAAATTGCATTTGCATGCGCATTGTTTAGATTTTTGTGTATATTTTTTATGTAATTATTTCAGGCTTGAAATGTATCACTTTTTCTTTCAGAAGGTATGACTGCACTCAATTTAGAACGCAAGCTGATGATATTCAGGTATTGAAGAATTGTAATATCACTACTTATGCTTTCCTGCTGTAAAGAAATCATTAAAAAGAATTTTCTGTGACAAATTTTAGTTATTAAGGTACACTCAATGAACAAAGTATATTTTCTATATTTGCATATATAAATAGCCACATGTGAATAATATTTATCTTTATTGTATGGATGAATAGTGATAAGCTGCTTTATTTTGAAAAGAAAATAAATTATGATAAAAATAAATTTCTGGTACAACTTCATTCTAGTTAAGTTGTAATATATTTATTATGTTTTTCATCTGCTGTTCTAGGTCAAAAGAATGAATAGTGATAAGCTGCTTTATTTTGAAAAGAAAATAAATTATGATAAAAATAAATTTCTGGTACAACTTCATTCTAGTTAAGTTGTAATATATTTATTATGTTTTTCATCTGCTGTTCTAGGTCAAAAGAGTTTTTAGTTCCTCCTTTCTTTCCATTTTTAATATAATACAAGCTTTTTGTAGTAATCTTTGGTACTTACGTATTATCGCAACCAGGTTGGCGTGATTTGTAAGTTTGAGTAAAAAAGTATGAATAGAAAGAAAATGGTACATTTATTAATTACAGATAATTTTAATACAGTTTTTTATATTATTTTGTTTTAAAATATAAAATAGCAATTAAACCCGAAAATGTATTGCCGGACAAAATATCTTAGACAATCAAATATTTTAAAAGAAATGTTATTTAATTGACAAATACTTTTCTGTTGTTGAGGCAGGATTAAAAAATGCATACATGCATTTCTGAATCTAGTTCCAATAACACAAAAGTACCAATTGACATAAGATATATAATATAATTATTTTTTTAATTTGGTAAGCATGTTATATAGTATTGCTAATCAATAAGCTTTTGTGCACATTTGGACATAAAAATTGTAATTGAATAAAAATCGATTGTAAAAAAAATAATGATGAATTTAATTTTTTAATTAACATCAAATAATAAAGATTTGACATTGTTTACTGGCAGTTGTAGATTGGAGTACAATTTTATCCAATCATTTTGTCTCAAAACTTAAGTAATGTCATCAGTATTGATTCTATGATTTACGTTAACAGAAACTTATAGATGGCATGTATCATTACTTTGTTATCTAGCTAGCTTAGTTTTAGTGGATTAGTGTTGATTCATATCTTCAGCATCCAAACTAAGGGTATTAAAGAATTAGTAAATTAATTTCTGTGTTTAAATGATTATATATATTTTTTCATCACTATTTAAGTTTTTAGGCAAAAGGGCCAATTTGCATTTCATTTTGGCATTTTGCATCGAAAACTTTAAAAGGCTGTATCACTTTTCAAATCATTGCCCTGTCTTATATTTAAAAAAATTAAATAGTGAAGAATCTGCATAAATGTATGTATGTTTTTCACATTGTGATAAAACAACGGTACCTAGAGGCATCAAAATTTGAATAACGTAATCTTCCATAGAATATGGGCATGTGGAGGCCCCAATTTGAATTTGAAATTTGTTATATTATCAATTTAAGATTTTGTAACACTTCAATGAATTTTTTATTAAAAAACTAAATGATTTCAAAGTGAGCAGTGACAACATGTAGAGGTAAATTTTTAAAAAATTTTTTATCTCCAGCGCAAAATTTAATATTATTGGTTAAAAGATGTGTTGCTTTATGCAAGTACTAGTGTTGTAAACATTTTATAAAAATCAACATAGATTAATCTTTAGATGAAGTTCAAAAAAATTTATTATGTTATTATTTTTAAAATAGAAAGAGGATATAACCAAAATTTAAAAGACTTGAGGGGCTTTCACAAACACTAGCAAGAATTTTATTTTAAATAGTCTTTATATATATATGTGTGTGTGTGTGTATGTATGCCTATATATTGACATTCTCAAAATACATTGGTGAAAGACCAAATATTTGGTTATATTCTTACACATTAGGACCATCATTGGCCATTATAATAAGGCTGTATAATATTAATAACATATTTAAGAAAGTTTATTATTGGTGTTATTTTCTTTTCCCTATCGAAATGTACTATTCTTTTTAAGTTCAACAGTTTGTTTACATGTGCTGTTACTCGAGACTTTTTCCTATTTTGACATGTATCATAATATGTTGTTTTAATAATAGTGTGATTTTAAAATGTCACAAAAGTATTTTTATCCAACTTTTACCATTATTGCATGGTGAATGTTGATATTTGTCAGTGTAAGTGGGAAATAAAGATATTTAGCAAATATTTCAGACATACATCAAGCGACTCTGTGAATATGTTTACGTTCACTGGAAAATGTCGACTCTCACCATATTTCAGTTTTTCACAGTAACATATAAAAAATGTCAAAGCTTCCGAACAAAAGCGGCTTTATTTATAGCTGAAAAATAACATTTGTTATATTCAGAATTTGAAAATGCAAAACATTTTTGCGAGTAAGCAGTTTTTTTTTTGCTTGATTTGCTGGAAGTCCATACGTATGAAATCTCATTCACTGAGCTCTAGTTTTTATAGCAATGCACTCACATACTCACATTTTAAATTTAAAATATATTCTTTAATATTATAGATATCAAATCTATTGCTTTAACTGCATATTTTAAGTAACTGCATAAAAAGAACTATTAAAATTACATAAAAAAAATGTTAGAAAATAGTTTTACAATGTTACCATGAAAACAGCTTTACAATCTTACTTGACCTACAGAGTATAAAATCCACACTGAAGTCATTTATTGTAGATTAGTTTATTGCTTACTTTGTCAAAAGAAATTCTTGGCTATTTTATTCACTTCCATCAGACTCGAACTCTGAATCCATCATGAAAGCTATATTGGCATGCAATAATAACTAAAAAAAGGTGAAATTACAAAAAATGCAAAATGCTTATGTTTTCCATTTAAGGGGGAAAATCTCTGAAAAAAATGTGAAGAAAGTAGAACTAGTTGTGCCACCTCTTAGCAGTATTCAGAAATACAAAAAAATAATCATGGAATATATTGACAATGTAAATAGCCACAAATTCACTTTCAACAACACAATTTTATTTTGCTACATTTCATACGAAGCCACCCACGCAAATATGAAAGAGCTGAACTTATCAAGAAGAGCCAACCAAGATGGGATTGATTATTAATTTTATTTTCATTGTATTTAAAAAAAGTACATTGCTAAACAAAATCTTTACTTTTCTGCTTAGGATTTTCTCAGTATAAAAGTGTAAAAATTAAAAAAATTACTCAAATAACATAAAATTTAGAATATTAAATTATTTTATGTTCAATTTTAGGTAGTGGGCTTTTAATCCAATTTTCTTTTCCATTATTCTCAGCAAAATACATGTTGAAATTATTTGTCAATGAAAAACAGTGATTTTTAATGTCGGATGCTAATTCTTCTTTTATTTTAAAATTGTTTTCAGTTAAAAAATGTTTTAAAAGTGATAAAAAGCTTAAAATATTATTATCCAATTCTTTGATTATTAACTTGAGTTTTTTCATTACATTTTTTTTTTTTTTTTTTTTTTTTTTTTTTTTTTTTTTTACTTCTAATGGTAATAAATTAATGCTTTGTCTTTCCAATCCTAAATTTAATTCATTTAACTTCAGCGAAATATGCTAAATGTGCCAACCATAATTCACTTTGCAATTCAAATTTTGAATTTATGGTCGAAGTTCAAAAAGACGAATTAAAACTTTCTCTCTGGATAACTACCTTACTTCAGAATATAACAAAGGAGTTTATTGTTTATTGCCCATCTCTTGGCATAAAATCATAAATATTCTTGAATTTAAAGCTCAGCTTTTAATAAAATTAACAATTTTCACAGCTTGATTCAAAACGAATTTCAGATTCAGAATTGTTTAGGCTACTAAAGATTCACGATGAATGGAGCATTGAGTAAATTTAGTTTCAGGTTCGACTTTCTTTATTTGAGAAATAACACCAGAATGTTTTCCTTTAAAGCCCAAGCTCCGTCACTGCATATGGCAATGCACTCATTTCAAGGAATATCATTCTCAGACAGAAAATTGTCAATTATTTTGAAAATTTCATTTGCTGTTGCTCTATCATGAAGAGATTCATAAAATAAATACTCTTCGGCGATTCGTTTATCTTCTTCGAAACATGTGTAAACTGATAATTGAACAAAGTTATATTGGTACTTTTGACCAACTGCAATGCGAAATACTCAGTGTGTTTTATTTTTTAAATAAGTGTTTTGTAGGGATTTTTTTGATTTCCTAACATTTATTTTAATTATTGAAATTTTTTCTTTACTTTTTTGTTTCCCGCCTACAATTCCCTGCCAGAATGAGTGTTCAGTATCACGTTTTATGTATATGAGGTAGAACCAGTATTTAATGGGAAGTTGCAGTCACTTCCGTAGAACTAAAAACATTAATATAAAAAAAATGTTACGATCTTTGATCTTATATGTTGGAATCTATTTGCAAGTTTTAATTGTATACGATTAGGGGTAGGGCCTCTCACCCAATCACCCTGACGTGTAACGCCATTACTCCAAAAGATTTCGCACTGGACACTTCCTTAGAAGAGTTCAGAAGTTCTCAGTAGAGCGTGTTCTGTCTTCTGACCATGTCGTTACTTTAAACCATCTTACTGCATTCGGTTGTATTGTATGTGCCTGTTAGTATTCGCCGGTGAGGTTTAAAAATAAGGAACAATCGGTTAGTTATTTATGTAAAGCTTCAATTAAATTTTAATTAGAACTAGTTTAGTTGCTTATTTTCTATCTTATGTTAAAGCCCACGTGGAGGCTTTCTGTAAGCCCAAGAAAGGCAGACTGTGAAATATTCTCCGAGTTAAACAAAAGGGTTTTTAACCCTTCTTTGGACTTCGTTCTTGTCGTTTTCAGAAGACCAGCGAATAGTAGTGACACTTCTCAAGTTCCTAGTTGCTAAGGGCAATCAATTTAACGAGAATTGTATAGTCTCTTTTATGGAATTTGCCATTTTATGAATTAGTCGACTTACGGTATCATTCGATAATGGAATATTATCAAGTTCATTAGCCACATTTTAGTTGAATAATGTTAAAATGATATATTTAGACACTGGTAATATAAGGTTTTCTCAAATTGTATCGGCCTGCCCAGTCTTGGCAATGCTTAGGCTTATTAGATAACTAACTTCCAAAGCTTTTTCACAATGAATTAACAAAACCTTTCATTACTTGCTTGCTATTTGTGAACTCTGATAATTTCCTCTTAAAATATTTTGCTCAAATTTTGCTTTGATTATTTTGCTAAAAATCTATGAGCAGCTACTGACCTTGAACAAAGCTCAGACTGCATAAATTTTAAAAGTGGATCCTAATTTACGGTTAAAACTAAATGAAATAAGACCAGACAAAAGAAATTGGTCACTCTTAAACAAGCCCAAATTGTGCACTAAATTTTAGAATTTAAAGTATTATAACTTAGATTTTGATAATTACCTATTAAAGCGGTAACCAATTTTTAATTTAATATTTTTTATATATGCATATTTAATACAAATAGCCAATAGGTTGTGCAAATGGCAAAATATGTCTCTTTTTTTTTTTTTTTTTTTTTTTTTTTTTCTAATTTCCATTGAGAAATTCAAAACTAATCATTGTAAAATGTAAAGTTTTTCAATTTTTATTTAGATGTTTTACGCATTAGTGAAAAGGTTGAGAACTTTTAGATATTAATTTTCAAAATTAAGCATAATTCTTTTCTGTGTTTTTATATAAAGTAACTTTCAAATAGATACTATGTTTTATCTCCATGAATTCCTCCAGTAGCATTACATAATTGTATTTCATTGCAGCTAGTTTTATAATATAATAATTGCTGTTTCTACGTTCCAGAAATTTTCTACAAGCAACAAAAATTCTTAATATTTCTTAAATCTTGAAATAAATGTACTCTTAAATCCTTTGATGAGGCAACTGAATTCTTTGAAATTATTGTTGTTTTCTGGAGCTATTTATATACCAGTTTATTTAGCTTTTGTTATGCTTGGAGAATTATGTATATTTGCTTTGTATTTCTTCATTATAAGTACTCAATTTCTCTACAAAAGCAAATATTTTTGTCAAATAATTTTATTTCTACCCTATGAACCACAACTCAGATAGTTAAACTTTGCAGTATAGTGGTTAGGGAAGCATACAGTGGTACCAACGGGCCTGGATTCAAATCCCGGAGAGGGCATGTTTGTAGTTGTCCATCCCTTCATAAGGAGGCAACGGTGGCTGCCTATTTTTATTGAGAAATTGAAAACTATTAGATGCCTCCACAAAAAAGTGGCCGTCACTTCTAGCATGAGTGGTCAATGCTGAATAGATAAATGCCCACCATTTGATTAAAAAACAAAAGAATTTCGCAGTATAGAACAAAATTTTTACGAGATTAAATTTTACGACTCATTAAAATCTTTAGAAGGTGCTGTTCTTAAAATTGTAAAAATATAGTTTATAAGACTTTTGCCAGAGCCCTTTTGTCAAATAATTTTAAAAACTGAGGACAGTTTCATTTAAGGATACTTGATTTTTTTGCTTTCTTCGAACATATTTTTGAAATATCAATCAGTTTCACAACAGTCCATGTTAAGAAATTTATGGTTAAACAATCAGTTTTTTGGGTTATTTAATGTATTATGGGATGTATCATAGTCTCATTTTTGAGGTCATAAACTGTTTATTTTCATTAAAAATCAAAACTTTTAGTCTTGAATGAATTTAATGACAAAGTAGTTTATTATGAATAAGTATAATTATGACAGTAATATGTTATTCATAATTATAATTCTGAAACTACAGAATTTATTTGCATGAGCATGTGTTTGTATATTGCTGATTATATTGTGATATTTGTGTTAAAAATATAAGAGGAAAAATACTGGATATATATTATTTTATTAAACATTCTTGTTTACCAAAGGAATAAATAATAATACAAAAAAATGCCATTTGCCATAAGGCTGAAATAATTGTAATATGATTTTTTATGCTGTTCAGTGGCATCAGCTCAGCTGGCAATGTTATCATGAAGGGCTTTTTTGACTTTTATTATGCTCTTTATTCCACTTCTCTTCTTGTTAGCACAATGTAAGCATGGCATTCTCTGGGAGAAGAAAAAAGAAAAAATTAAATCTATGCCAGGAAGCCAGTCTTTACATCCATTTTTTCTGCGGCTGCTTAAATTATACAGTGCAAAGTCAGAAATCGGACGACCACCAGGCAAAAAAATAATAAAGAAATTCCCTTTATAAAATGTAGGAATGGAGAATATAAAAACAGAAGGAAGAAGGCATACCATAAATGCTATTTTTCTCCTGACTGAGTTTTCTGCATGTTCAAACAGCTGATGGCTAGGCAATCGCACCTTGCCAATAACAGTGCAATGATTGACGTATTCCTATTGGTCAGGATCATACTTTTGGTCCTTGAGTAGTTGTGGGAGAAGCAAGGTATTCCCCCCTCCCGGTGCAATCTGTGTGCGTACTATACAGTCAAAAGTCTTTAATGCGGACTCGTCGGAACTTCGGCGATTCCGGATTATCGATTTTTCCGGATTATAGATCATCAGTTTAAATCTGATAAGATGGCATGCAGAAATTATAAAATTAAAAATATGAAACCGTAATTTATGAAATAAAGAGCAATTACGATCCAAAGGGTATCAAAATTTACAAAAAAAAACTTTATATTTATTTGTTTACTTTATTAAACATTTCTTTCAACGCTCGCATGCGTGTAAAGCATACATTACGCATAGTCGAAATTAGAAAATTGCAACCAGAAAACTATTTAATGTGTATTCGTGATATTTATAATGACGAGGAATTTGATTTAAAATCATATCAAAGACGGAGTACATCGAGATGAAATATTACATATAGTAAGGAATTATGAGCCGAATAAAATAAAAACATTTGCCCTGAAGATAAGGATAGTGCTCACAGATCAACTTCCAGTTAATTGCACGCTTCGTCTTCCCCCCCAACCCCCGCAGAGCAGCATGAAATTGATAAACATATTTCGGAATGATTAGAGAATCAAAGGATATGCCTTTATCCAATTTTTGCATCAATTCCACTTCTTGTTTGATGGACATCGAAACATGTTTTCTCTTTGTAGATCCTTTGGTAGCTCCAGAATCGGAAATTCTTTTTGACATAATCGAAAGTTCAATTTACTTTTATAAAATTGCTCTAATAGTCTGTAAAAAATAATAAGCCGGATCCAATTAGAAGATTAAGGAACAACGCAATCTGCAACATTAACTGAATTAGATAATTTTAGCTTAGCTTATACCGTCCGTTATACATTAAACGCGCATGCGTAAACTTATTATCCGCATGCGTGAAAGCATTATGCATTGACGCATGCGCAGAAAGTTTGTAGCTTTGAGGTCCGGATTAAAGACTTTTGACTGTATTTTGCTGCTTGTCACTTTCCTAAATTCTAAAAATTTTGATGCCCGTAAATTCCATTGTCTGATGCCTCTCCTAAATTCTAAACGTTCCGACACCCTACTGCTGCCACACCATTTGCACCTTCTCTTGCACCAGCTTCTGAAGGGTTAGCATTTTTCTATTTGACCTAAATGATAAGTGAAACTCCTGTCTTGCCATGTCTATATATATCATATTAATAGATTTAAAATAATTATTTAAAATCTACAATCGCCGAAATTCCGACGATTACGAATATATTGTAGCTCTTAGATGAAACTTATCGAAAATAGCGGGCGATCCAAAATTTTAATTCTGTTTTCTACAAATTCATTTTTACTTCCTTGTACGAAGTACAGGAAGTATTGTAATCACGGAAAATTCCGGGTACCATATTTCAACGAAATTTATATTTTGATCTCTATCGAATGCATGCGTGACAACTGTGCCTAAGGACAGAATAAAAGACTCTTTTTCCCCAAACGAATTATAAAACTGATTTAAAATGGATTCAGAAGAAATTTTTTGTGGCGTCTGTACGTATGTATGTATCTCGCATAACTCAAAAACGGACTCAGAACTTTAAGCTGATTCTGAAATTTTGTGTGTGAGACTGCTATAACATGTAGATGTGCACTTCCTATTTTGGTAGCAATCGACTGCACCAAAAGTATATAAATATGTATATGTCTCCTCTGTTACTCAACTCAGTGAGCTCAGTTTCTTTATTCTTTTATGTTTGCATATTGTGCATTTTTTTATTTAAAGATGACTGAATTATGTTGCTTTTATCTTCGGGTTAAGTTTTTATGCCATTAGTTAACTTGCATGTTATAGTTGTAGAATTATCAACAAGTGTTTAAGTAAGACACAATAACACGCCGAATAAATACTAATTCAGAAGTCAAACAACAAAAATCAGCGTTAACAGGTTATTGACAGGGGCTTTTCACCCAACATTATTAATCAAGCAGTTAAAAAAGTCTCATCTGAACACACTAAAAGCCACACTCTTATTTTAGGAGATTATAAAAATTCTGTTGTCATTCCCTTCTTTCCATCAATTAGCTATAAAGTTGCACATATTTTGCAGAAATTTAACTTTCGGGTTGTTTATTCTCCCATCAATAAAATTCCAACTTCTATACTCAAGGACCCCATTCCGGATATGAATTCCTGGGGTATTTATAGGATTCCTTGCCAGTGTGGTTTAATTTACATTGGCCAAACTAAGAGAGCCTTAAAATTTCGCGTCAAAGAACATGAGGCATATGTTAGAAAAAAGGAAACGCAGAAGTCTTCTGTTTGCTCAACATTGCTGGTCCGAAAATCACACTTTCAATTTTTCTGCTGCCAAAATTATTCAAAAAACATCTTCCATTGGAGAACTGGATTTTTCTAGAGGCATTTCACATTCATAAAAATCTTTCTGTTCTAGTTAACGATCCTAATTCCAATCCAAATTTGCCTTCGGGCTTTTAGAGAAATTTGTTTTAGTTCTGGTTTCGCCAACAGATGGCGCCACTTGCTTATTCTTGTTCAGGCTTTCTTATCTTATCTAATCATTATTTCCTATCTTGTTCATTTGCGGTTTTGCAGCTGAAGATGATGGTTCGGTAAAACCATCGAAACTAGTCCTGTGAAAATTTTGTAGGTATAACGCTGATTTTTGTTGTTTGACTTCTGAATAAGTGTTTAAGTGAACCTAATTTTTTTTTATATTTGTTTACATTTGAAACATACATACATAATACTGTACATAACTAGCAGAATAGTGGATTTGTTGCCAATCTAGTTAAACTAAGCTTCGCAACAACAAATTAACGTCTTCTTTTATTATTGCGAATTAAATTATGCCATTCTGGAATTATCATTTACCGTAATTTCCGGAAGAAACGCCGCGGCGTTTACGTGTTTAAAACTTAAATTTTCAGCGGGTGTGGCGTTTAGGTGCACTAAAAATAAAATATTGCCTTCGATGGTCATTGTGCATAGTTTGAATAACTTTGTCATTTTACATAGTTTGAATAACTTTGTCATTGTACATAGTTTGGATGGCGTTGTCATTGTACATAGATCACTCAGTTGTTCCAGAATCTTCCAGGAACCACCCTTACCCCATCCCTGCCTTTTCTGCAATTTTTTTCAAAGGCGGAAACGACTCCATCTGCCTCGCAATAACGAACTCTTACGTATTTTCCCTTCAGCATGAATCGATTTTTCTTGGCATTCTGCCAGATACAGATCCCATCAGTTTGGGTACAAGTACTTGTTGGATAGTTTTTAAGTAAAAGGGAGTGGAAATTTTTTGAAAATAGCACCTAAACGGCACAGAAGCTATACTACTGGTTTTAAGTTTAATGTAATTTCACGTGCTGAAATAAATTGGAAAAAGAGCAGCAGCTCAAGAGTTTGAAGTGGACGAGAGATGTATTCGACGTCGGAGAACTGAAAAAGAAAAACTTAAAAATATGCCACAACGAGCCAAAAAAGAAGTGGTACTGTAAGGTGGCCGAATCTAAAGGACGACCTTGCAAACTGGATAAAGGAGCAACGAAAAAAAGGAATGGCAATTTCGACTGTAAAAATTCGCTTACAAGCAAAATTTATAGCAAAGCAAATGAACATAAATGATTTCAAAGGAGGACCTTGCTGGTGTAGCAGATTTATGAAAAGAAAAAATCAGTCGGGCAACAATTACCAATGGACTGGCAGGATAAAAAAAGGCATCTTTTCTAAAATATGTGACAGATATTATTGACAAAAGAAAACTTCTTCGGTCACAGATAATAAATATGGATGAAACGCCGTTAGCTTTCGACTCTCCTGCAAACAGAACTGGTGCAAAAACTGTATCTGTGCTTACGACGGGGCATGAAAGAACATCATTTACATGTGTGTTAAGCTTGTTAGTCATTTACATGTGTGTTAGCTTGAACGTCATTTACACCGTTAGCTTGTGGCGCAAACGGTGACAAGCTAAAGCCGATGATAATTTTTTAACGGAAAACTATTCCGAAGGGAGATTTTCCTAATTACGTAATTATTTGTGCAAACGAGAACGGCTGGATGTGCGAAACAATCATGCATGAGTGGCTACAAAAAGTCTGACAGTGTCGTAAGGGATCTTTTTTCCAACCAAAAGGGTTATTGATAATGGATTCCATGCGTCCTCATTTACTTGAGTCAGTGAAAACCAGATGTCAAAAATTGTCTACGACCATAGCAATAATTCCTGGTGGTTTGACAAAAATCTTACAACCATTAGATTTGTCAGGTAATAAATCTTTCAAAGCTGAAGTCCGAAAGCGGTGGGAGTGTTGGATGAGTGAAGGATTGCATACGTATACCAAAAGCGGTAAAATTTGCAGAGCATCTTATCAAAAAGTTGCAAAGTGTGTAGGAAGTGCGCGGAAATCGGTAAAAACATCGTCAATAATAGCAGGATTCAAAGAAGCTGAAATTATATCTTTAGATAAAGAGACTGTAAACCAAGAGGATAAATGTGACGATGACGATCTGAAAGACTTGGACTTAGATCAGGATTTACTAAATCTTTTTAATTCAGAAAGTGAAGAATCAGATTTTGATGGCTTCATATGATGTATAGTTTGCTTTAATTTCTTTTAATTTTTTTTTTTTGTTTTTTTTTTTTTTTTTTTTTTTT